TCTTCTTCTTCTTCTTCTTCTAATTAGAACCAAATATTTTTAAAACACCTTACTCAGTATTATTTCTCTTATATTTGATTATTGCATCTATGAATTTTGCCACTGAGAGGATGTCACGATCATTTGTATCTGATAGCAGCCATGACACCTGGGCTTGCACACTTAGCAACTCCATATCCTTAAGTAAAGGGGTGACTAAATTAGCCCTCAACTCATTGAATATAGGGCACTCCATAATCGTATGTTCACTGGTTTTGATTGTATCATATGAGCATCTGCATGTTCTATTAGAGTATGATACTTTATTATATCCCTCCAAAACCGCTGAGGGAAGAACGTTCAGTCTTGCCAAAGTAAAAGGTCTTCTTAGTTTTGAGACTGTCAATTGATAAAAATATTTCAGCAGTTGTATTGGGATGGCAATTTCCAAATAGATTGCCGAAGATCCCCTATGCACCCTAATAGACATACTTGTAACATCCAACCTACTTACAGATTTTTAATTTTATCTTATAATGTCTTTAGTTTCTGTATTTTTAATCATATCATTTGTTATTCCTAGGCATTTCAGTTTGTTTTCCAATAGTTGACCCCATTGGCTGTAATGTTTATCTGCCTGGATAAGCCCAAGTAGAGTAGATCTTCCCTCAGATATGAAAACCTTTACTTTAAAGAGAAATGCTTTAATCTAAGCCCTAGCTTCCATTGATAATTCACCTAGTTCCGCTCTCAGTGCTATGCCCGGGACACATCTAGGAGTAGTCAATAAGCGTCGGAAAAAGTCATACCGGATGGAATCCATTTTTTCCCAGAAGTGGCCTGAATCCAAATTTCCACACCACACAGGAATTGGTTTTGAACCTTATCATTAAATACCTTTAAGGCCGAGGGGACAAATTTGCCTCCTGATGAGCATAACTATTTTACAATTGTCCTCTCTACTCTCAGGGCTGTGTTTCTTGTGAGATGTGTGTTTTCCATGTAAGAGATGCTTCAAAGTGGATTCCCAAATATTTAAATTGATTGACCTGCTCCATAGGTTGGCCTGCTATGTCCCATTTGAAGATTTTCCCTTTTCCTTTTGGTAAATACTATAACCTTGATGAATACTTTGACACTGATGGACAAGCCCTCATGATAACAGTAAAACTCGAAAAATTTTATCAGCTTGTGGAGGCCAACTATTGATCTAGACATTATCACTGCATCATCAACATATGGAAGGATTGGAACTTCATGCTTTGATTAAAAAAAAAGATGACATGCTTCCTTCAGGATACAGGGTCTGAAGTCATTTATATATAAATTGAACAACAGGGGTGCAAGTAAACACCTCTGCTTGACTCCTTTATTCTAGGATGAAAGGCTCTGATACCTGTCCTAAGTCCCCACATCTAACCCGGGCAGCGGGATGGTCGAAGAACTGTTGAATTAAGTAAAGGAGATATGGTTCAATGCCATATTTCTTCAGCTTTTCCCATAGCCGGGGTCGGGAGATTGTATCAAACGCTGATTTTAGGTCCACAAAGGCAGTTGCCAACATGCCTTCTCCAAAACTCAGTTGTCAACCAAGAACTGGAGGGAATGGCAATGCTCGATGGTACTTGCTCCTTTTCTAAAACCAGCCTGTTCATTTCCCAAAATATTATTTCCCTCAACTCAAGATTCCAGCTTTTCAAGAAGCATTGCAGCATAAAGTTTTCCTATAGTGGATAGCAAGTTTACTGGATAGTAATTAATTGGGTCTGTCAGGTCCCCCTTTTTATAAATTCAAACAATTATTGCACTGCACCAGACTTCAGGCATATTTCCAGTCTTGTTTATTTCAGTGAAAAAATCAGTCAAAATCTGCCCACCAGTCTGGGTCAATTTTGAATAGTTCTGCTGGTATTAAATCAGGCCCAGGTGCTTTCTCGTTTTTTGTTGTTGTTTAATTAAAGTCCTAATCTCACTTACTGTTACTGGGGGCCATTCTTTCACACCCTATTTGGGGCTCCCATTCCACCCTTGCTCCCCTTCCTCCTGCCCTATAGGAAGGACTCATTGGAGCAAGACCCAGCAGTATCCACCCGGCAACTTGCTACCATAAAAAATATTGAAGAATTAATGTTGGGCGGGAATGAATTGTTCTTGGATTTCATTCCAGTTGTCCTTTTAATACAATAGTAATGTGTGTTTTTTTGCATCCTCATCTCTTAAATTGGCTAGCACCAACAACACTAAAAATAAATGGAGCTTGCATTGGCAAAAACACTGTGGATCAGAGCCTTAATCCATGTTTCATTTCGATATTATTGGTATAGTTATTGGTTAATTGCAGTAAAAATATTTTAAAGCCCCTACATGTCATTTCCTCAAAATTTGCCATGATTCCCTGGTGCTCCTGGCTTTGTCAGATTATTAGTCTGTGATGGAGGATATAAAGCATTTCCTTGTATTCAATTTGACCATGCTCGGTGCTTTGGGCCAAATTAAATATTAAAGGCTGCTTGTGATCTTACAGACAAGCAGGGCAAGCAGACTGTTGCATGCACAGGGATAGGGGGGGAAATCCCAATAAAGCAAGGTAGAGGCATTGGTGGATTTTCAGATGTAGGTGACTCGTTCATTTCTTTGGAAATAAATTCTTCCTAATGTGTGTCTGGAAATGCAGAGAACAAGAGACATAGGAACATATTTGAAATTGCTTTAAAAGAATATGGTCCATTGGCTTTTGCTTTGGGTCATTTTTGTATTCTTCCAATCAACGTAATCCGGCTCACCTGGTCAGGGTGCTGCCTTTGCTGCCCTGCAGGATGGGAGGCTCATTGCTTTTCTAAAGGCCGATTTGGGGCTTCTGAAGGGAGCGGCCAGTCTCCCAATCTTCAGTCTTCACCTTTCCTCTCACCCCACCCTCCTGCCCTGCGGACAGTACAGGCCTGTAGCTGGTCACCCTGTGGGAGCCAGGTAAGAATTTTTCACCTCTGCTTCAATTGGCTCTCGAGCAGGGGTGTTTTTGTCTACCTTGTACTGTGGCTGTGGATTGAGGAATTGGCTAGGGTGCGGCCGTATAAAATAGATTGGTCGCTTTATGGGTTGGCAGGGTTTTGTTCAAATTCTGATTGCAGCTTGGTGAGCACTGGCTTGCAACCCCTCTGGGCATATAGGGTTCTTGCGAGTACAGCCCTGGGGCCCTGGGTGGGGAAAGCTGATTGCCTATGGGGTTGCCTTGGATTGATCCTCCCTTTGAGCCTTGTGGTTTGGGGGATGGAGTTCTGGGGTGATTGTCCAATTGCCGTGCTGACTGGTCTGGAGCTACCTCATGGTTGCTCCCAGCTGGGGTAGGGTGGCTCGCCCTATTCGAATTAGCAAGGGAAGGGTCAGGGTGACCCTTGGCCTTGGCTATGCCACTTTGTTTCATAACCGTTGCTGTTGATTTAATTGTTACTAAAGTAATAAAGTGGCCCTTTAGTTATTCCAGCACTTGAGTCTGCCTCATTATTCCTGCTTGGGTAGCAATTCTTAGTAGTACTTTTCACATTGACTTTGTAGACTGGCTGTACAATCCTAAACAGAATTTTACTCTTTTAGCCCATTAAAGTCAGGATGTAACTCTCTTTAAAGTTAAAGTAAGGCTTACTCCTTTGTAAGTGCATGTAGTATTACTAACAATGGGCTGTCGTTTGTTTGTGATCACCCATTGGGACTGCTTTGAAATTATGAATACTCTTTGAAGGGATGTGTATATTTTATGTCTCAGAAAGTTCAGAAACAGTGTATTTTCTTTAATGAAAATGAAAAGTTATGTAAAATGAGCTATGTCCCCACTATTGTGATACTGGGGACGGTTTTTCCTTGTCTTAACAATGGTTGGCTCCATGGAGGGGGGAGGGAAAGGTCACCCTTGTGCAAGCAATAGAAAGTGGAAGTGTATAGGGGTATTATTCACATGTTTTAATCTGTTTTAATTGTTTTTAACTGTATTTTGTATTGTACTTAGATGGTTTGATGTTGCTTTATTATGCCAAATGGCCTTGTTAGCCACCCTGAGCCTGTTTTGGTGGGGAGGGCGGGTACAAATTAAATAAATAAATAAATACCATGTAATTAGTACAACCCAATGGCTTAAGACTTGAATGAACACAATTTGCCTGGGCCCAATAGCAGCCTCCGTACACCTTGTGAAGTTTGGAAGTCGCCTGAGTGACTACCATGCGGCTTTTGCAACATGGGCAGACCTTTCCCAGGAAGAGGCTGCCAGAGGAGGGAAGAACGGAAAGCTCTAAACCAATGTAGAATAGGGTACAGACAGAGATCCTGCTTGCAGTGGTAGTGGTGGCTTTGCTCACTCCATATAGGGTGAGGGCACCACACAGGGCACTGGACAAACCTTATTTGAGGCCACCAGAACTTTTCCTAGTGCCCTTAATAGCCAATCTGCCAAACCACATTTGAAAAAAAAGTAGTATGTGAATCCTATTACAGAGGAGAATGATGTAAACTGCTCTGTGTCACCATTTGTAAGAATGACAGGGTATAAATGAAGTAAATAAATAAGAAAGTTGAAGACTGGGAGGAACAGGTAAAAGGGATTGATTGGTGAGGGAGAAGAAGAGAAGGAAGCAGGGAAAGGGAAGAAGATATGGGAGCTGCTAGAAGGACTGAAAGAAGAAATACTGTAGAGAAGGTGATACAGATGTGAACACAGTAGCCCTTGCAACTCCTTATGCCTTCCCTACTTGTATAGCCATACTATGCTCCCAAATGAACCAGTTATAGTTTTCCTCTTCTTTCAGCAAAGACTGATCACATTTAGGGGTTGATACAGAAGCAAAAATGGTCCCAGGAAAGGGCCCTGGCCTGTTTACAATGCCACACCCACAATCAAGGGGTAAAAGGGGGAAACTGGCTTTCTCACCATGGTGGCTGCTCTCCTGCCCCTAATGAGGACAGGGATAGCCAATTCACTCTCTGTCATGGCTGCTCACACACCCCATGTGGGGCCCAAGCAGCCAGCTTGCTGTCTGCCCTGAAAGCAATGGTTGCTTACTCACCAAGTGAGCATGGGGCCAGGCATTGGCTCACTCTTGATGACCCGCTGCTGATCCTCCCTGCACAGGGCACAGATAGACAGCTTCCTTGCAGCAGTAGTAGTGGCTTTGCTCATTTCACATAGGGTGAGGGCACCACACAGGACACTGGATGCCCCTTATTTGAGGCCCTTAATAGCCAATCTGCCAAACCACATTTGAAATAAAAAGTAGTATCTGAATCCTATTGCAGGTATCATTGCAGGGGACAGAACCCCCCAATTAATTAAATTAATGGTTTCATTTACACTCAACCTACAGGGCTACACACTCTCAAAGTTCACCAGACCTGTAGTCAGAGGGTGAGGGGCATAAGAATACTCTTGGAGGCAGGGTTCTCAAGTGCCTGTTATTCCAAACCACAACACTCATGGGACAGGAACTGATGCTAGGTGTGTGTGGGTTTTTTTGGGGGGGGTTGATTTTCACAATAGCACTGTTGTCATCCACCTATGGATATTTTGGGGGCTTGTCAATATCACTCTCTTTTTCTGGCACTAATCTGGTAAGAAAATGTTGGGATCCCATGCCATACTAGGAGAGCTCTGTGTTGTCATCACAGTGCACAGCCTCAGAGTCTGATATTCCCAAGGCATATTTTATCAGTATCCATCTCCATTTTATGTTTTAGGTTTATAAGGTTTATGAGGTTTATAAGATTATGCATGGGATAGAGCAGGTAGAGAAAGAGGTACTTTTCTCCCTTTCTCACAATACAAGAACTCGTGGGCACTCCATGAAATTGCTGAGCGGTCGGGTTAGAACGGATAAAAGGAAGTACTTCTTCACCCATAGAGTGATTAACACATGGAATTCACTGCCACAGGAAGTGGTGACGGCTACAAGCATGGACGGCTTCAAAAGGGAATTAGATAAGCATATGGAGCAGAGGTCCATCAGTGGCTATTAGCCACAAGGTATAGATAGGGGCTCTGGGGCAAGTGATGCTCTTTCTTCTTGGTGCTTGGGGGAGTCAACAGTGGGAGGGCTTCTAATGTCCTGGCCCCACTGATGGCACTGGTATTTCTGGCCACTGTGTGATACAGAGTGTTGGACTGGATGGGCCTTTGGCCTGATCTGACATTGGCGTCTCTTATATTCTTATATGTTCATGAATAGGGGCAGCCTGTTTCTGTTTGCAGTGGCAACTGCTATCCTGGCTCCAGCAGGAAAAAGAGGGAAGGAGAGAAATTTTGCTGCTATGATTGTGATCCATGCCCACAAGGAATGATCTCTGAGCAGATGGGTAAGAAATCTTTCCTGAGATTAAGCCCAATTAACTAAAATAGGAGTTATTTTTTAGTAGTTCTGGTACATTTAGCCTACCTTTCTCCCCAAAGATTTACAACCATCTCCCTTTCTCCAGTCTCTCCTCACAACGGCCCTATGAGGTAAGTTATTGTGAGAGTGTGTGACTGGCCCAAGATCACCCACTCATGGCGGAGTATGGATTCTAACCTAGGTCTTCTAGAACATAATCCAACCCTAACCACTGTAGTATGCTGCTACAGACAAAATTATTCATGAGCTGAAACGGAAGATATTCAACAAATCAAATACTGTGATGGTTTACCCTATCTGTGTCTGTAGACATCTCCCACCTGAGTCCCCCCCCCTTTGGAATTCCTCTCAGTGCAATCCAAAGGTCCCAAGAGTAAGCTGCAATGATTAGACTTGACTAGCATTCTGTGAGATGTCCGTAGGCTTGCTCTGTAAAATTCCCAAAGAAGAGATTGGATTTCCCCAAAGGAGTCTCAGAGTGGCTTACAATTCCCTTTCGTTCCCCACAACAGACAACCTGTGTGGTGGGTGGATTTGAGAGAGCTCTTTTGAAAACTGCTCTTGAGAGCACAGTTCTGAAAGAACTTATGCTGCCTAGAGATAACAGTCTGGGAATGGAGGTCATAGGGGATATGATACCTCCCAAGTTGCCATTTCCTCCACCAGAACTCATTTCTGTAGTCTGGGGATCAGTATGTGAAAAACTAGGATTACAGAATTCTACTCAACATCTTTAAAAATATGACATTCAAAGGACAGAGAAGAGGAGGCTGATTGGGAGGGCCAACATAGACAAAGAATGTGACCAATGTTCCCTCTAAGCCATGGAGTCTTGTGAGCAAAAAATCTGTTGTATGAGCTACTGGCATTAAAGTTGTGAGCGACCGATTTGGCTACTGCAAAAATTAGTTGGCTCTGGAGCCATACTTCCTGAGCTAAGACAAAAATCTGTGAGCTGGAAGCTGAAAATCTGTGAGCTAGCTCACACTAACTCAGCTTAGAGGGAACACTGAATGTGACATAATCACATCTTAAAATCATCCCTAAAATAGCCTTCTTCCCATATTGCTAACAAGGACAAGGAGAAGTGGGAGGAACAGCTGCTTTCCGAATGCTACAATTTGAACACATGATCATTCGAAGCTCTGAATTATGTTCGTCTCGGTTGAAGCATCATCCACTGCTGTGCAGGAGGGCAGCTGAATCCAAAACCTCACACAGAGCAGCCATAATAAAGCAGATGTGTTTACCAAGTTGAAGTATCTACATAAATTTCCCCCCATTCTTCACTACAATGCTCTTCAAAACTCATGTTTTCTGAAGAGTTTGTGACATTTCACTGCCACTGTAATAAGACAATAACAGCTGTTACTTAACTTTCAACTAATTTTCCATAACTTGGCTTGGAATATTTAAAGAAAACCCCCCTTTTTTTTCAGACATGGATTCCTGCATGAAATGTCCACAAGATCAGTATTCCAACAAACACCAAAATCAATGCCTTCACAAGGACATAAGCTTCCTCTCATTCAAAGAATCTTTAGGAATCATTTTGACTCTTCTGGCTATTTCTTTTTCCCTAATCACAGCTATGGTATTCAGAATCTTTCAGAAGCACCAGGATACTCCCATTGTCAAAGCCAACAACCAGAACCTCACCTACATTCTCCTTATCTCCCTCCTGCTCTGCTTCCTCTGCTCCTTGCTCTTCATTGGACAGCCTGTAAAAATTACCTGCCTTCTCCGGCAAACTACTTTTGGCATTGTCTTCTCTGTGGCCCTTTCCAGTGTGTTGGCCAAAACCATCACAGTGGTTGTGGCCTTCATAGCTACAAAACCAGGATCTAGGATGAGGAAATGGGTGGGGAAAAGACTAGCCCATTCAATCATTCTTTCTTGCTCCTTTATTCAAGCAGGACTTTGCAGTCTTTGGTTAAGTACTTCCCCTCCATTTCAAGATACAGACATGCACTCGTTACCAGGGAAAATCATACTGGAATGCAATGAAGGCTCAACTGCCATGTTTTACTCTGTCCTGGGCTATATGGGGTTTTTGGCCATTGTCAGTTTCATGGTGGCTTTCCTATCCAGGAAGTTGCCTGACAGTTTCAATGAAGCCAAGTTTATCACTTTTAGCATGTTGGTCTTTTGTAGTGTTTGGGTGTCATTTGTTCCAACCTACTTGAGTACGAAAGGGAAATCCATGGTGGCTGTGGAGATTTTCTCCATTTTAGCTTCAAGTGCTGGTTTACTGGGGTGTATTTTTTCCCCAAAATGCTACATCATTATGCTGAGGCCTGAACTAAACAACAGAGAACACATGATAAGGATGAAAAGAATATTACAATAGTATAATTTATATATACACACAAACATACATACACATATTACTCAAATACAGTGATATTACAAAAAGTTCTGTTCATGGCACAAATGGATAAGATTACAAAAAAACTGAATAACAAAGAAGACGATGAGTTTTTTGGAGAATGGAATGATTTTAAAATTTATCTGGAAAAGAACTGGGATGTGAAACAAAACTTAATATGTTTAGATCAATATTAAGTCAAACGATGTTATCTTTAGATTGTAATGATGAAAAACTGATATTGTTGATGATATGAAGTAATTTGGAGCAGGGGTGGAAGCATTGTGGGAAGCCATTGGAGGGAGGGGAGGAACTGGGAATGGGGTAAACAATTGATAGAATGAAATGTTTTATATGTTGTATTCCTGAGAAAATAAAATTTGTTTACCAAAAGGATCCTAGTTCCCCCAGCATGAACCAGTAGGAACTTTGGTGGGAAATTCATACCCTCCAATGGGACTGTGGGTCTGCTGGGTGGTTGTGTATATAGTTGGCCTTGCAGGGCCGTTTTGCAGTTCCAGTGTTAAGTACAATAAACGTGTGCAAACGCATGTCGTTGTCCAAGTCCTCCATGCGGCGAACCAAGTACTTTTCAACTATATTTTGTATTTCTTCTCTTTTGGTATATGGTTGTCATCCACCTTGGGCTTAAAAAGATTTGAAATAAATGCATTAGTATTGGCTATTTGTGACAGCCTTAAGAGGTTTCCTGGAATAGTAGCACTAGGCCCAGTTAGCACTTTATGTAAACCTCTGTCAGCATCAGAGTGCTTAGCTAAATGATACTCATATCTCTCATATATTTTACCTGTGCTATAATTTCCATCTGTGACCATTAAAGACCTATATAAGGCTACCAAGCCACACTAACTTCATTACTTCAGTTTGTTTGTTTATGTTTTGTATTTGAATTTTTTTCTATGCCCACATCAACCACTTTGGGGTAAAGGAAGAACTGACTCAAGAACTCAGAAGGATGCGTGTCTGTTTGTGGGAGAGAAAAAGTCCTCCACATCTCATGGTCTCCCTATTGACATCTATAGGGAAGTCTGTTTAGTTTTAGAATATTTATACTCTGCCTTTCTGCTCTTGTCAAAGCAACCAAGGTGTCTGCCAGATGATATAATAAAGACAAATCTTAAAACCTTCAAATTCAAACAGAAACACATCATTAAAACAATCACAACCAAGCTAAAATGCACATACATGATGATGATGATGGTGATGATGCTAATTCCAATCCCAGAGCATTTTATTTGTGCCCAAAGGCCACCATTTTACTCTCAGGGGCTCTCATTCTACTCTGGAGGCTGTCATCCCAGGGCCAGGGTAGCTTTCTGGTAATCTGCTCCACATTTTCACTGAAACTTTTGTGTGCTGTAGTGTATGTCAATGGAGCTTATTCAAGACAATAGATATTTGTAACTCTCCCATTATATACAATGAGCCTTCATGTAGCAGACCTCTCTAGGGTTTCCAGCTCTGGGTTCAGAAATACCTGGATATTTTGGGGGGTGGACCCTGAGGAGGGCAGGGTTTGGGGAGAGGGAGGACTTCAGCAGGTTCTAATACCAAAGAATCCACCTTCCTATCAGCAGTTTTCTCCATATGAACTGGAGATCAGTTGTAATCCCAGGAGATCTCCAGCTACCACCTGGAGGTTTCAAGCAAACTACAAATGGGGATCACAGATGATATAAAAAACTGTAAGAACGCCATGAAGCAAGGCTAATTAACAATATATTGCATATGTTATAATAAAACAATTTAATCCAACATGTAGTGAATTAATGATAGAGATTCAATAGAATGATAGAGATTCATTAGAATTTAGAAACATATATGGTAGAAGATATCAGAACATATTCTACAGGGCATGAACAATCCAAGAAGCAATTGGCATCAACAATTTAAGGACCAGTTAATGATGAGTCCATAATACACAATATACAAGCTGAAGTCCTTCTGTATGTGTACGATCATGTAGTAGGTATATTAGTGATTTGTTCAGCTTCAGGCCTTATTGATTATTTCTCTTTGATTATAAACCTGCGTAATGTTTATTTTCTAAGACTGGTCAAGAAGCTACTCACTTGGAAATAACATTTTCCCAGGCCCAAATGTATCCCTGCGGGGGCCTCTTCATTGCCAGGTCTCACAGCTCATACAAGAGGTTTCACTTTCAAGGCAAGAGCCCTGAATGTCCATTGGTAGTGTAGCAATATTGGGATAACATTCTGCAGGGAGGGGTGATATGGAGGTTGATAACCTCCAGCTTGGAGACCTGAAAGCTTTATTGTCCATTGTGTTCTGCCAAAAAGCAGGTGTCATCGCATAACGTAACTGTGACCTATATACCATGGGATCTGTGATAGCCAGTTAACATTTTGCTTGTATAATGACAATAACCAAGCAATGCTTTAACTTTGCTCTCTATATAAACTTCTGCTTCTGGAAGAGAGGCAGAGAATGGTCTGAATGCTGCCTGTGTTCTCTCTTATCTGCAGATAATTTTAACTGTACTTAAAATCTCACTGCTTTGACTCCATTTCTTTCTGAAGCAAATTGGCTTAGCTTTAAAAGGAAGCACTTAGTTTAAGTGCCTCAGTCTCCAGGTTGATCTCCTGTGGTGCTTAGAACAAGTGCTTAGAACAAGTGTGGTATGTGACATCATCACAAGTGAGCTGCCTATCTCAAGCATAAAATAAAAAACTAAGCAAAACAGGAAATTCTCATTACAACACATGCATGTGCTTGTTTAATTAAATGGTCCTGGTGTGAAATTGCCAACTGGGACTCAGGCCATTGAAATCATCATCTAACTAGTAGGGACTGTCAAAGTCAAAATTATTTGTTTCCAGCTACCTATTAGATTCCCAGAGAAGAAAACAAATGACAGCCACTGAAAGATGCTATAAAATCCCCCAACTCTGAAAAGCATTGAATGCAGAGAAAGGCTGGCATCTGCTCATCTGCTATTTCACAATCTCCATTTTATTTTTTATTTGTTCACGTTCATTTATATGCCTATACATTTTAACAAAAATTTGAATGCATTCAAGAATCCTGCATACAATCCCTTCCTTTTCCTCTTTATCTTTCAACTTCCATTTAACTCGAAAGAGACTATCTACTAAATGACTATTAATCGTAACAAAACTGGGGCTGGACAGGGAATGATACACATGGAAATGGTAATCTGCACCTGTTAGGAAAAATTTTGTTGTAGGAATGGTGCTGATACTGCTGTTGCTCTTCATTCTGCTGCCTTGTGATGTATGCAAGAAAGATGCTATTAATTGCACTGCAGATGATGACCCTCTGCCTATTCCTCATGAATCTTACCAGCCAGGTGACCTTATCATTGGTGGGATTGTCTCTCAGGTCTTCAGCGTCCACAACAGTCTGAATTTCACACTGCGACCTGCACAGATGTTGTTTAATGAACCTATGTAAGGAATTCTTTGAAACTCCTTTTATTATATCTTTTTCTTTGTCTCAGTCTTTCCATAAATACCCACAAAGCTGTAATTGTTTATTCCCTCCAGAGTTTTCAATTCTGAAATGTTGCATCATGTTTAACTGGATCACATATTTCATATTTGAAATCTATTTTTGACCATGACAGCTCACGCAACAGGACAATGTAGTCAGTCCTGACTTCTCAATGACTAGAAAGTTGTTGTCAGCTACCCAGTTCCCAAAAAAAAAAAGCAAACCCCCTAGAACATCAGCCACATAATATATTTTATTTCATGTGTAAAGTGCTATCAAGTCATAACCAATTTATGGCGACCCCATATGGGTTTCAAGGCAAGAGACATAAAGAAGTGAATTGGAATTTTCTGCCTGTATATAGCAACACTGGACTTTCATGGTGGTCTCCCATACAAGTAATAACCAGGGCTGACCCTGATTAATGTCCTAGTGTTCAAGATCTGATGAGACCAGGATAACCTGAGCTACACAGGTCAAGTAATACCTTTTATTAGGACCAACCAAACCATTTTATTACATCTTGCTCATTAAAAAAATCCCATGTCCCTGCATGTCCACCTTGTACAAGGCAAAATACATCCTGTCCTGAAGCGTCTTCCCTTCCATACCAATTTTCGTCATAGTTTCCAGCCTAATGAAGAGTTCTGGAGAACTCAAAACCTTGCATTCTGTTATGGTTATGGTTAATTCCTAATCAAAGGTATTATGTGATTGGCATTATGTGCTTTAGGATCCTAAAATACTTCAGATGTAACATGTGTCTTTAGAAATAGTTTGCCCCGCATACTCTTTGCATAATAGAGTTCTAAGTATAAACATCTTTCATATGTCCATCTTCAGTATTGTAATATGTGAACCTTCCGTCCAATCTTTTCAAGGATTTACATTCAATTAGCATTCAGTTCATTCAACCAAAAAGTCTGTGATGAAAAAGCTCCTGAGGGAAAGGGATTATAAACCAATTATATGAAAGGAAATTGGAGTAAATGGACAGTTCTCACAATGAGCTTCCATGAGGATCAGTACTAGAGCCAGTGCTATTTAACATTTTCATGATATTGGAAAAGGAAGGTTGATTCCTTTTTGATGATCAAAAAAAGGTTAAATCAACAAAAAAGACACATAGAACAGGAGATATAGCAATGAAAAAACTTGATAGGACTGAGTAAAAAAGCTGGCTTTATGAATCCATGGATTCGTAAAAGTGGAGACAGAGCTCTTTTTCTCCCTGTCACACGATATTAGCACAAAACAGTAAGCAGGACAGAAAAAAGGAATGGCTTCTTCCCTCAAATACTTACAGAATTGAAATTCAAAGAATGTAGGTAGGCCACTTCTTTAGTCTCCTTTTAAAAGGGGGAGACAAAGTCATGGAGGGCAACCCATGCAACTGTGATTCAGCATAATGGATAAATCAGTCTCCGTGCTTTGAACACTAATGCTGGGAGGTAAAAAGAGTGGGAGGGTGGGGCCTCCGTACCATG